GCGCCCTCCGGGCAGCGGCCGCGCTGCGTCACCGCGGCCGTCGTCGTCGACGTCGTCGTCGCTGCCGATGCCGCTCGAGGGTCGGACATCGGGGTTCCGTCCTCCGCCTCATGTTCCTCTTCATCCCTCAGGGGACTCGTCCCATCGGCCCCCGGACGGAGGGTGTGCCGTCGGATTGCATGTGGCACTCATCCCCATAAGATGCTATAGAAAAATGCGTCTGCATTGCATCGTCGTCAGAGTCAGTCAGGGCCAGAACGCAGGGAGGGATCCTGCTCACCTTTCCCCCCTCCCCTCTTTGTAGAGGTGTCGTCGTGGCCCTGCGCGCCGCCACCGACCGCCATGGCCTTCGTGGGGTTCCCGCTCAGACGTCGGGGGCATCCAGGGGTGCTCTAGCGACTTTGGGATGCATCTGCAGACCTCGGACAGTCGTCGTCGTCGTCGTCGTCGTCGTCGTCGTCGTCGTCGTCGTCGTCGTCGTCGTCGTTGTTCGTCGTCGTCGTCGTCGTCGTCGTCGTCGTCGTTGTTCGTCGCTGTCCGTCCTCGCCGTTCTTGATAATTCGCCGTCGTGCAGCTCTGATGGAGAGGGCAAGTTGGAATATCTCGAGACATGGGTTGAGCGGATTCGACGCACAGCCGGCTCTGGAGCCCAGGCCGGGCCCAGAGCACGAGAGGCAGCATTTGGGCGCCCTGCAGAGAGCTGTGCCGACGGCTTCGCAGACACGTGCGGCCAAATTTGGACGAGCGCGGCCCGGAACCCGAAGGAGTGGGCTGAATTCGCAAGTCGTTGCTCTAGAGAAAAACCCCAATCAGTGGATGGCTTCCTGCCACCGGAATCGGCGGGAAACTTTGGCCAGATCTTTCAAACTCCGCTAGGACCCCTTCAGTGCAAGCACTGAGCACTGAGCACCGAGCTTCTCTTCTCTATGTGTTTTTTTCCACGCTACCGTAGGCGGGCCCGCCTGCCTGTGTGTAGAACGCGGCCTTCGCCTTGATCGGGGCCAGTCTGATTGTGCAGGGCCCGAGTGGACCGTGTCGGCCATCGGCCGTCGTCGTCGTAGTCGTCGTCGTCGTCGACGTCCTCGTCGTCATCGTCGTCGTCGTCGTCGTCCATCGCCGTCCTCATCGCCGCAATTCACATCAATCCCATTGCTTCTTTCCTTCCTCCCCATCGTGTTCCTGTTTCTCTTGTAAGGGGCCCAGTGGGCGAGACCCGACGCATTCGGCAAGCTTGGGAGAAATGCAAGGGTTAATCGTGAGAGCGTGATGCGTCAAGTACGTATTCGGAAATGCCTCAACTCGTGGCGGAGATTTCGTGACACGGGGGAATCGTTTTGCACTCTGTGCGTTCCCCAGGAGGCATCAACTGTCCACGATGCAGTTACACCTGCTCCGATCGTGGCCAGGCCCATCCTGCGCCCAGGATCGAGGTGTGATAGATCATGGAAGGCATTGCCCTACCAGGCGGAACCTGGCGGCAGTAAAAGATGCGCCCCCAAGAGATGTCAAATTTTGTGGGTTCAGGGTCTCCGAAGCCGCCACACCACATGGCGGCTGGCTGCAGTACCTATTATGGTTCTCGACGCACACGCCGGGTCTCCTGGTTGGCCACGGGGCTCGGTGTGCAGTCGCCCCGAATTCCAAGGCTCCCGCCGAGCATTCTGGGTACCTAGCCGACCAAGCGACGCGGTATGCATCGAGCCCCTCCAAGTGCCTCCGCAAACAGCCAGCGGTGTATTTTTTCCCCGAGTGGTACTTTTCTGCCTCTTATCCATGCTTGATGGTTCCGTTGCCGCATAAGAGGCCCCGTAACCCCAAAGCGAGGAACCACGCCTGGATTCAGAAGAAAGAGATCGTCGGAGATTACGGTCTCCTTCCCCCCTGCACTCTCCCTCCCACCTGCCGCTGTGTCGTGCGCGAGCCCTCATTCCCAGCGTGTGCCTTTCTAGCTGTCCTGGCGCCCGTGCTGGCAGCCGAACATCGCAGGCCGTTCCGGAATCTTCCGCCAATTCCGTGCCTCTTCAGTTGCCAGGCTTCCGACCACGACGACGGCGTCGACGGCGACCACGGCCACGATCCAACGACGACGACGTTTTCTGACGCTTTCTGACGGTGCCGCTCGCGTTCCGCTCGCGGCGGGCGATCCGCGCGCGGTAATCGCGCGAGGCGGCCCTCATCCTCCTCCGCCTGGCCGACCTGCCACGCCAGCGGCCCCCTCCGCCGCCTGCTGCTCGGCGCTCCCGTGCCCCTTCGCCCTGGACGGCGTGCGTTGGGGTGGTCACGCAGGTAGTGTGTTTAAACGTAAGGAGGAGGAGGAGGAGGAGGAGGAGGAGGAGGAGGAGGAGGAGGAGGAGGAGGAGGAGGAGGAGGAGAAAGGAGGAGGAGGGAGGAGGGGCTACCTAGTTGCGCTTCGCCACTGGCCCGCCCGCCGCTCTCCGCCTTGGGGCCCTCGCAGCTGCCGCAGCGCTGGTCGTATCGCGCCTTTGGCCCACCGCCACGCGCCCACCCCGCCTGGCGTGATGGGCTTGTTTTCCACCACCACCATAAGTTGGAGGAGGAGGAGGAGGAGGAGGGGGCTCTCCTCCTCCTCCACCTCCATCTCCTCCTCCTCCTCTTCCTCCTCCACCTCCATCTCCTGCTCCTCCTCCTCTTCCTCCTCTACCTCCTCCTCCTCCTCCTCCTCCTCCTCCTCTCCGTCCTCCTCGTCCTCCTCCTTCCCCCCTCCAGCTTATGGTTGTGGTGGTGGAAAACAGGCCCATCATGGCGCCCCGGTTTTCTGGTAGCATGCTGCTCCCCTCTTCCACTTGTTGGGCTACGCCCGTACTGCGGCTGCTGGCCCCGCACAGGGGTGCGTCGTGATGCCGCCCCGCGATGAGTGCCAGGGGCTGCCCCTCAGCCCGGCCGCTCCGCGGTCTCGCTGCGTGCGAGTGCCCCCGAACTTCGGCCCCGTTCTCCGCGGCCGCCCTCTCCCCCCCTTCCTCCCCTCTTGCATGCGGGAGAAGATCGCCCCGAAGTGCTCCACGAACGCCGCCTCGTCATAGAGGCCGCCGTCGAGCGCACGCCGGCACTCGCGGCGGCGCGGTCTCGGCGTTCCGGTCCGAGCTCGGCGGGCAGGCTCCTCCACCTCCACGTCCACGTCGTCGTTGCCCTCGACCTCCGAGTCGAAGTCCTCGTACTCCAGGCCGCCTTCCGACGAGACGTCTTCCTGACCCGTGCCCTCGTACACGCACTCTTCCGACTCCCGACGCCGGCGGAGCTGCCGTCCGAGGGGGATTCGTATTCGCTGCTCCTGGACTCCGCTTCGACACCGCCCTCCCCGGTATCTTCCTCCTCGGGGTCCTCGTCCTCCGTCTGCTCCGTGTTGTCTTCCTCGCACGGGCCCGCCTCCGCGGGCAGCAACTCGCCGTCTCCACGCCCTCCCACGCAGACGTGCTCGGCCGCGCCCTGCACGAAGGGGGGGCAAGCAGGCTCAAGCATCAGCCGACGTCCACGGGCGGCACCTCCCGCGGTGCCGGGCGCACCTCCAGGTGGTCCTGCTCCTGCAGCCTGCGCGGCAGCGCGCGGTCCGCCAATGCTATGCACAGCCCGGTGCCGTCCGCGTGCAGCGCCACGTTCCTCCTTAGGACCTCCTCCGCCGATTGAGGCCTACCCCGCAGCAGGGTCCAGAGGGCCTGGGCGAGCGCCGCGACGCGGTCAGCCAGCTCCTGCGCCCCCACGATGGCCGCGTAGCTGCTCCGCACTGCCTTCAGTTCGCCGCGCAGAGACTGGACCTCCGACTTGGCGGCAGCTAGGCCGTGATCCGTCGCCAGCAGCGCCCGCCGCCGTGCCGCCGTCCGCTCCGCCCGTGTCTTCCTCGACACCTGTCTCCCTCCAGGATCGCCGCCAGGCAACCCTGCCCGCGCCACCATGCTCGCGCCGCACGTCCGCCGCTCGGTGGGCAGCGCAGGAGCCGGCTTGAAACAAAATGGCTGCGGATGACGACGACGACGACGACGACGACGACGACGACGACGACGACGACGACGACGACGACGACGACGACAACGACAACGACGACGACAAAGTTGGCGGCGGCGGCGACGAAGGCGGCGGCGGCGACGACAACGGCGGCGACCGCGACGACGACGACAACCGACCGATCGACCCTCGATCGGCCCTCGATCATGCTTCATCGGCCTGGCAGGCCCCACGGAAGACACCCTCTGGGGGGTTCTCCGAAGGGCTTAGGCGACCCGTCCTCCACCTCCGCCTCCTCCTCCTCCTCCTCCTTCTCCATCTCCTCCTCCCCCTCCCCCTCCCTCTCTTCCTCCTCCCCCTCCTCCTCCTCCTCGTCGTCCTCCTCCTCCTCCTCCACCCCCTCCTCCATCTTCTCCTCCCCCTCCCCCTCTTCCACCTCCTCCCCCTCCTCCTCCTCCTCCTCCTCCTCCTCCTCTTCCTCCTCCTCCTCCTCCTTCTTCAGCCGCCCTGGCACAGGTCCTTCCACTTTCCCTGCGCGGCCCCAGGGATGTGTTCTCTCTCTTACCCAGCGCTCCCTTACCCTTCCATATAGGCACTCCCCGTCGTGGCGCGCGCGCGGCCTGCCATGCATGCACCTCTTTCTTTTGTTGAGCAGAACGTCGCGTCCCTCGTTCAGAGCGGCAGAGCTTTGGAGATCAGTGAAGCTTATCGGACGAAGGACATCGCATTTCTTACTGGAACTAGGCTACGCAATCGACCTACAGATGGGCAGTGCACGACAGTCTTTGATCCACACGTGCACATTCTGAATTGGGGCCATGATCGAGGCCCGTTTGTCTCTTCGCACACTGGGATGCAGATTCGTTTTCGAAGCCGACGAGCTCGTCCTTGCCATATTGCTCAGGTTCACTTCCCGCCCGCAGGCATACAAGGACGGCTTGGAGCAGTCGCATTTCGATCAGGCCATTTTAATTTGTTGCTGATTGTTGTATAGTTTCCAGCACGGCCACATGTTGCCAAGAAGATGGTCACATACAATATGATTTTTTGGATGGATCAGGTGTGTAGAATGCAGCCCAACCGATGTTCGATATTGTTTGGTGGCGACATCAACGACTATGTTGGATGGCCCTGTCCGAACGTGTATTTTGATGAGCACAATCCTGTTGGGCCGCTGCGACCCCAGCAGGAGCATTTTTGCATGACGCAGCTGAGAGTTGTCATGGAGAAGCTCAATCCTTGCTTAGCTAACACTTTCATCGGCGGCGAGGATACGTTCCATGGGCGAGCTGCAAGTTCACTCATGGATTATTTGGGCGTGCCCCGAGATTGGTTTTCGATTCTTGTGGATTCTTGTATTCTTAATCGGCGAGGGCGGCAATTCCAGATGGCGCCTGTGAAGTGCAAATGGGATCACTATCCACTTCAAGTTCGCTGGCGATATATTCCTGACTTCTCGCGAGGGGGCTGCACTACACGCATTCAGTGGAATCTTGATGCACTTGTCCGTGGTGTTGTGGATGGATTATGGCGCGAACGATTTCTCAGAGAGGTTGAAGATCATTGCTATTGTTATCAGAATTTCTTACGTTGGAAGCAGTATGAGGACTACGCCGTGCCCGACGAAATTTGGAACCACATGATTGGCAGCAGAGTGCATCAAGTATTGGCGAGCGAAGTCGACCTACACCAAGGATGGAGAGAAGATAAAGGTGCGGCACACATGTTACATCCACGCGTTTGTGCATTTCGGAGAGCCGCCCCACATGGTGATTGTGCCAGCGAACTTGCTCGTGTCGAAGCGCCTCCTCAAGCTCGGGTCCGTGCCGAAGCCAGGCCCGCCACCCAAGGGAGGGCCCGAGCGCAAGATTCAGAATTCCGTGCAGAAAATGTTGAGGAGGGGCAAGCACAAGCGGTGGTAGCTGATGATGTTCTAGTCTCAGGCTCTGGAGGTTCTCAGATGGAGGGTGCTGGCGAGATTCAGGCTGTGGGCTCAGGTCATCACAGCGTGAGTAGCAACAGTAAAAATCTTGCGGCGTCCGTGAACACTTTTGGAGCTGGGGGACCCAGACAGTGCGATTCAGAGCGGGGGAGAGTTCAATTTTCGGGCTCCTGGACTCCCCCGCAGAGCATGCCCAAGCGTAAACCTAGGAAAGGCAAAGGTGCTGGTCGAGGCAGAGGTCAGACTTAAGTGCTGGGGCCTCAACTTGACTGAATGTGACGTTTCCCGCCTGCTTCCTCCTTCCTGTTCCCTCTCGCCTCCGTCCTCCTGTGGTGGTGTTTCCTCGTGTGTCTCTCCTTCCCTCTCCCCCCGCTCCTGCGCTGTGTGTGTGTGCGAGTGCGAGTTGAGACGCTTGCCTTCTCACTCTCGGGATCGGGTGCCGAGGTGCACCGTTCGGGATGTTTTCGTTAGGCTTCTCGACCCTAACGGTTTCTATGGTGTTCCCTGATTAGAAATCTAGTCGCGACGGGAGTGCCGACTTTCAAGTTTCGCGAGGGGACATGCCCTCATAATGCGCACAGCGGTCATGTGTAATCGGATAAGCATTGCAGACTCGACCAGATGCTGAGTACCACCACCACCTCCTTCTTCTCTTCCTCCTCCTCCTCCTCCTCTGGTCGCCGACGGCCCCGGGGGGAACCGTGCAACACTCTCCTCGCGAGGACACCAGCCAGCCGCCCGGCGAGGAACCCGGCGTCGCCGACGGGCTCACGGAGGCCGCCCTGTCCGCCGCAGGCGGGGCGCGCTGGACTTTGGCCCCTCCCTCCTGCCGCGGGAGGGGCGGCCGGACGATCCCCCCCACCCCCGGAATTTGGGCGTTCGGCAATGGGGCGCGATGATTGGGGTGGCGTCGATGGGGTTGCACGAAAGTCGGGCCGGACGAAAGGGGGGGATTGGGAAAGGGGGGGTTAGGAAATTTGCTGCATGCAGCTGGTTTCGGCCCCACCGAGGGGCCCATTCCTCGATGCACAGCCGCCTCTGGCGCCAGGAGGCGCCGGGAAAATCAGCTACGTGAGCTGATTCTCAAACCCTCCATTTCCTATCCCCCTGGCCATTTTCGGCCTCAGGGGGCCCTCGCCGGGCCTCGGGACCGCGAAGAACGACTTAGGATCGGGACTTCCAGGGACTTCCAGGACTTCCAGGGACTTCCAGGGACTCCCCGCCCCGGGGAAAGGGTCGGGACTTCCAGGGACCCCGCACTGACAAACATCTGGACGTTGCATGCCTGCGCCCAGATCGCGAGGACGTCGGCCAGTAAGCGGGTGGGGCGAAGCGAGAGGGGGCGGGCCTTCTCCGAGGGCAGCCGGGGCTCCTCCGAGAAGCCCTACAGCGCCTTCAAGCCCTGCAGCGCCTCGGGGGCCCCCGCGCCGTCGGCGAGGCCCTCGCGCCTTCTGCGGAGCCCCCCAGAGAGCTCAGGGAGCTTCTTGGGAGACCGGAGGCCCTTCTGGAGCCCTCTGAGAAGGCCCGCCCCCTCTGCCTTCCTCCTCTGGGCGCACCGCTGGAGCAAGCGCGTGGGAGAGGGTGGATCCCTCTGCCGAAGACGAAGAAGAAAAGAAGAAGGAGCAGAAATGCAAGAAGCCAAGTACATAGAAGCCTTCGAGGGTCCGCGCGGGTATCTTGGGCCGGGGGCCCAGATCAGTTCGAGGAGCGGTGGAAGATGTCGTTCGCACTCGCGTCCGCAGCCCCATCTTTGCCTGCATCGGGCCGTTGCCCTGGCAGATTGCCGCTGCCGCTGTCGCGGCCATCACCAGCGAGTTTCTCTCGCCCCCCTGTGGTTCGCGTGTCCCTTCCGACTGCTCCCCCATCTTTCAGCATGTTCTCCCTTGGGATGCCGCTGCCACCCCGAGCCCGAAAAGGGTGGAGACGCAAGCTCGAGGAGGCGGAGGAGGGGGAAGAGAAGGAACAGTAGCTTTAAGTCCCGCGTGTCCCTCACAGGGGGACGATTGTTTGATCATTGTTTGTCAATTTTGGGATATTGTTTGAATATTATTTTGTTCGCCCAAAATCCCCCTGTAGGGGGACATGCCCGACCTAACAGTTGCTCCAGGAATCAAGCAACTCATCGTTACGAGGCGCGCGTGTCAGGGAGGCCCAGAAGATGAGGATGAATCGCTCCAGAGTGACCCGGGGCGCACCCGGAGCGTTCCGCAACGCACTTGAGCCGGCCACGGCGTTCGATGTTCTCCAGGTCAGACGGCCCCCAGCGATTCCACATTTGTCACCGCCCAGATTTATCCTCAACCTCCCTTCGTCTTAGCGTTATTCTGAGTTTTGAAAGACCCTTCCCCTGGACGGCTTCGGATACCCTCACAACCCCGTTCGGTTCGACCCACCCTTCGTTCTCTCAGGTGGACGCTCAGCCTTCAGACACAGGGTTTCTGCATCCAGTTCTCCTCCTCGCTGTCCTGCTCGCCCTCCCCTTCTGCCTCCTCCTCCTCCTTCTTATTCTCTTTCTTCTCCTACCCTCCCCCTCGTCCTCATATCTTGCCTCTCTGTTTCTTTTTCGCAATCCTTATCCTTCATTCCTCTTTTCCATTCCCTCCGTCTGTAGTATTATAGTTCTTCAATCATCATTCATCCTCATCCTCCCCACCCTAGCCCCCTGCCGTCCCGTCTTCACCATCTTCGACATCCTGCCCCTTATCCTCTCTCTCTCTCTCTCTCTCTCTTTTTTTTCTCTCTCTCTCTCTCTCTATCGCTTCTCCCCTGCTCTGTATTCCCTCCACGCCGTGCTGCCCCTCCTCCATTTCCTCCTCTTTGGTCCTCATGCCTCCTCCTTTTGCCGCTGCCTGCCTCCTCTTTGGTCCTCATGTCCTCATTCTGCCGCTGCATGTCCTCTTTTTTTTCCTCATTCATAGCATCCGTCCACCTCGTCCCCGTCGTCATCCTCATCACCTGCCATCCCCCTCCATATGCTCATGCTTGCGCTTCTCCTACTCTCCACTCCATTCGTTCGATTCCCCGTCCGTCCAAGCCACGCTTGGCTCTAGGCAGAACGCACGATCCCTCCCCCGTCCCCCCCTCCCTCCTCCAGCTTCTCTCTTCACTTCTCCCAGGCCCCTCTCATCTCACATCCCTCCCCTCTTCTCCGCGTCCTCGTGTTCGTCATCCTTTGCCTCCTCCTCCTCCTCCTCCTCATCCTCCTCCTCCTCCTCCTCCTCCTCCCTCATTCCCCTTTTCATCTGTTTCGTTCTCCTTCATGCCCCCGTCGTCGGCCTCCTCCTCCTCCTCCTCCTTCGCCTCCTCTTGCAATTACACCTTATTGCTGCCGTCCTCCTCGTGGTGTTCCTTCTTTTTCTCCTCCACCCCTCCCCTCCCTCCGTCCTCCCCCTTCTCTCCTGCCTCCTCTTACCTCCCGCCTTCCCTTCCCTCCGCCCCCCTTCTTCCTCCATCATTCCTCCCTCCTCGCTTCTCCCTGCTCTCTTCTTCCGCCTTCCTCACCCGCGTCCTGTCTTATCTCCCCCTTCTCTGTCCCCCATAGAGCCCCGCTTTTCGCCCCCACCCGTCGGGCCAGGGAGGCAGAGTCTCTCCGCCTTGCTCCCGCCTGAGCCGTGGGCCCGGCCCCGTACTCGGAGCAATCCGTGAAGGTCGAGCCTCGAAGTTCAGCTGGCGTCTGTCCGCAATGCTCCGTGGTGCTCTCACGGCAGTTTTGTGCCGTGTCGATTCGGAGGCGACTCCAGCGCGGGCGCTCAAGGTTGAACACCGCCAGTGTCCCAGGACCTTCTGGCGCCGAACGAGCTGCGCCATCGGACAGCCGTGATCGTTCAAGGCTTAACGAGGCCCGCGATGTCTGAGTCCAACGCCGAGGCCGTCATGGCACGAACCCGCCGTGCTCACATCCCCCTCCTCCTCCTCCTCCTCCTCCTCCTCCTCCTCCTCCTCCTCCTCCTTCTCCTCCTCCCCCTCCTCTTGTCGCATCGAAGAAGCCCCGAACTTGACCCGATTGCTCGAGCGATCGATCCTCCTCCTCCTCCTCCTCCTCCTCCTCCTCCTCCTCCTCCTCCTCCTCCTCCCGCCTCCTCCTCCTCCCGCCTCCTCCTCCTCCGCCTCCTCCTCCGTTTCCCCTCTCGATAACTCCTTCGCCACCTCCCGAGTCCCGTGTGCCTCACTCCGTCGTGCTTTCTGCCTCCTCTCCCGCACTCCCTCCTCTCTCGCGCCTCCCTCCTCAACCCTTCCCTCCCCCTCCTCCTGCTGAGATCTGACTTTCCTTCTCCGCCTGATTAGGGGGCCACATGCGAACCCTACCCCTACCCCCCACGATTTCTGGGAGGGAGGGTGGGGTTCACTCCGCTCGGGAGCTCCCGAGCGAAGTGAACCCCACCCTCCCCCTTAGAAATCGTGGGGGGTTGGGGTAGGGTTCGCATGCGTCCCCCTACTGATTCCTCATTCCTGTCGGCATTGGTGTTCTCCGAATTCGCTGCCGCGTCCCCCAGGGCTGGCCAACAGCCAGCCCTGGAGGAGCAGAACCTCAGAGCAGAAAGACGATCAACGAAGACAGACATGGAGGAGAAGAGAGAGGAAGGAAAAGGGAGCATCATCAAAACCTCCGCCTCCTCTTCCTCCCCCTTCTCCTCTGCCGTCTCAGCTGGCCCGGCCCTCCGGGGGCGCCCCCACCGCTCCCGCGGCGCCAGACTTCCAGACCCCCTCGGGGGTTTGGGCCGCGCCGGGCCCCGTCCACTCCGAGCTGGCCGAGGTGGACAGCCCGGCGGACCTCGCCCACCTGGAGGCGGTGGACGAGGCGCCCGTTCGTCGTCGCAGTCGTCGTCGTCGTCGTCGTCGTCGTCGTCGTCGGCGTGGTCGTCGCCGTCGCCGTCGCCGTCGCCGTCGCCGTCGTCGTCGTCGTCGTCGTCGTCGTCGTCGTCGTCGTCGTCGTCGTCGTCGTCGTCGTCGTCGTGGTCGTCGTCGTCGTGGTCGTCGTTGTCGCCGTCGTCGTCGACGTCGCCGCCGTCGTCGTCGTTGTCGTCGGCTCGTCGGCGGCGGAGGCTCGTCGGCGGCGGAGGGGGAGGAGGACGGGGAGGAGGGGGAGGGGGGCGAAGACGGGGGAAGACGGGGGGGAGGGGAGGAGGCGAAGGAGGAAGAAGAGGAGAAGGATGAGGTGGGAGGAAGTGGTGGACGGGCATCCGGTCCCTGCCGCGGCCAGGTAGTGGTCTCAGGGTGCATTGCAGTATGTAGATGCTGCATGGGTGCAACGATACTGATTGCCAAGGCCTTGCGGCCAGTTACACCGACCCTGGAGGCCTCGGCCATCCTGTGTTTTTGTTGTGCGCTCCCGACACGCCCTGGAAGGGTGGTTCTGGGACCACCTCCCGGGACTGAAGGGATCAAAGGGAAGAGGCTCCCCTTCGACTCAATGACAACGCTGCTGCATGTCGCTGCGGATGGGCTAATGCATCGGGACGTGGGCAAGGTGACAACGCCGAAAACCTTTAAAAACGTACCAGGAATCTATGATTTTTGCCCCTGGAGGCCGTCTTGCAAGTCCTCTTGGAGGCTTCTTGGGGCGATGTGCAAACCTGTTGTGCCGTCTGGAGGTTACTTTGGCGACTTATACCGATACGTCAGCGATATGGAACCCTCGAACATCGTCTTGGGGACATATTGGAGCACTTTTGCCGCGTCCTGCGGCTTTTCTTGGCTGCCGAATCGCCCGAGGGGGAGTCGTATCTGCCCTATGGGACCCCCCAGGACCCCCCCGGGACCCCCCCCGGGACCCCCCCCCAGGAACCCCCTCCCCCCCCTCCCCGGCGGGGAAGGGATCAAAGGGAAGGGGCTTCCCTTCGACTCCACACAACGTTGCTCAATCGCGCCCGAGCAGGATGGTCCGCGACGACGACGACGACGACGACGACGACGACGACGACGTCGACGACGACGACGACGACGACCGCGACGACGACGACGACGACGACGACGACGACGACGACGACGACGACGACGACGTCGAGACAAACGGAACAGCCTCCCCAGACATGCGACGTCTTGATTTTTTCAGGACGGCGTCCCTGGAAGTCCCAACCCTTTCCCCGGGACCGGTTCTTCATCCTGAGTCGTCTTTTGACGGTCTTGGGGCCCGGCGAGGGTCTCTAGGGGCCGAAAATAACGAAAAACCTCCCAACCCGATTTTTTCACGACGCCATCATGTCTGGATTTTCTAACGCCAGCAGGGTCGGCGGGTTTTGACATGGGTGCTGCTCGCCCGTCGTCGCAAAGCATGTGTTTTACACGGGTCCCTTTCGCCCGTGAGGCACAGCCAGGTGCTTTTGCATAGTTTCCAGGTCGCGCCCGTGAGCAGCATGTTTTTCAAGCTTTAAGTCGGGCCTGTCCCTCTACAGGAGGAATATTCAAGAAGAGTCACAAAATAATGAGGGGACGATGTTTTGAGATTTTTTGTTTCGGCTGCAATCAGTTTGAGCTGTGCGTTCGGACAGTTCAAAGGAGGTCACACGTCAACGCGGTATGGCATCGTTCAGTTAGCACAGCCTCTGACACAGCATCTTGTTTACAATCTTGTTTGCCAGCTGGGCAAGCGAATCGAAGCAGTGTGACCGTGAGTGAGAGCAACGGTTGGAAGACCGTCGTTGTAGCCGGCGCGTCGTGTAAACAGTGTTGGATGCGAGTCCGAAAAAAAGCACAGTCTCTGACACAGCACATGCCCATCGATACCTTCAGAATTGCAGTTGACCGTCGCCGATGTTCTGCGTCTTGAAAACGTACTCGCGCGTCACATGACTACGTCCTTTTCCAGGTCCGTGGGTCGGCCATGTTCCGAGTCTCCGACAAGAAGGTTTTGATGTTGCACGCAGGCTGCGCATGGCATTTCATGCAAGGGTGCGCGTGAACGTGTTGCGGCATTCTGGCATGGTGGCGTCCGAAATCTCGTTCCCGCTGCTCGATCGGAGACTGTTCTCTCCGGGTGAGTCTGCCTCCTCCTTGTTTTTGCTCTTCGGAAACAGATGCTGGTTGATCAGGGGCACACTTCAGCAAGCACCCTGTCAAGTGCCAGTGCCGTTTATACTCCCTGTTTCCAAGGGACTTTTTCCGGGAAAGGCCTTATGCCGATGGTTCTTTTCCTGGAAAGGCCGCGGGTCCAGGAAGCTGTTTTAGGTATTATGGTAAACTTGTCCCTCGGTGCCTCGTCGGAAGGAGGCTGGCGGATGACGGGAAGCGTCTTCGAGGAACGAGAAGCGAGCTGGACGTGATGGCTGAATCCTCCTCATCTCAGAAAGAGATCTCTTAACTATAGGGGGTGGCGGGCCGCACGGTGTACCAGGCTTAGCGGATTCCTCGGGATGGCGATTTTACGTTAGACATCCTCACAAAAATGAGATCTTCGCGACATCGCGTTTAACACAAACAAGCGTTTCGCTCGAGACATCCTCGAAAAGGTGATGACAGCGAAATGTCGCCGTCTGTGAACATTTGCGTTTCGCTCGGGACATCCTCAAAAAACAGAGATGACGACTGAAGTCTTTAACTAACTCTTATGTTAAGAATTGCGATTTCGCTAGGGACATCCTCAGAAAACGAGCGGCAGCACGGCGGACCAGAATGAAGAGCACGGCAGACAATTTGCATTTCGCTAGGGACGTCCTCAACAAAATGAGATGTCCTCAACGTCGTCTTGGTATCGTTCTCGAAGTGCCTCAAGATGAGGAAATGAGAGGCCAAAAAGCACGTCAAGATGGCTGTCAGAACTATTGGGAGACTTCCGAAAATAGCGATTTCGCTAGGGACATCCTCAAACAATGAAAACATACACCAGCATCGACTTGAAAACTGTTGTTCTTACATAGTTTTGACTATGCTTATGAAAAAAAGGCTTCCAGACGGCCCAAGGCAGCCTTCAAAACATGTCGATTTCGCTAGGGACATCCTCAAAACATTGATGCGTGCGACATCGCATCGTAATGATTTTCGGAGGGCATCAGGAAGCAAAAGAAGGCCACAACATGGCCCCAAGAGCGCCCTTCAGGTTGCTGAAAATAGTGATTTCGCTAGGGACATCTTCAAAAAATAACAAATCCAACAACATCGTTTTGAACATTGCTGTTTCAACATCGTCTGGGGATCGCTCCTGAAAAGGCTTCTAGATGGTTTAAGCCAGTCATCTAAACATGACGATTTCGATAGGGACATCCTGAAAAATGAATGTGTGTCACATCGGACTGTAACGGTCTTGTAAGGCATCAAGAAGGCCCCCTATGGCCCCAAGCAAGCCCAAACTTGACCCCCAGGAACGCCCTCGAGACGATACAAAATGGCGATTTCGCCTGAGACATCCTTACGAAAATGAAATGTTCACAACATCGATTTCATCAAACATGAGCGTTTCGCTTGAGACTTCCCTTAAACATAGGAACCCGCGAATTCGACAGAGGTTCAAAACATAGCGTCTCGCCTGAGGCATCCTAACAACAATGATATCTTGGAGTGGCGGTGTCAATACCTCTCATGTTTAAAATCGCGCTCTCGCTGCATACATCCTCAAAGAAATCGGGCGGAGCATGTCCGGCGAAAAACATGCTCCTTCGCTCTTGACGTCTATTCTGCCGTGCTCGTTCGTTCTTGGGGTCTATTTCGAAATGCTCCTTGTTTTTTTGTGCCGTGCTCCTTCGCTCTTCTAGCCTATTCTGCCATGCTCCTGGCCAGTTTCTGTCACAATCCTTTGTTCTTGGGGCTTATGATGCCGTGCTCCTGGTCGTTTTCTGCCGTGCTCCTTAGCTCTTGGGCCATATTCTGCCGTGCTCCTTCGCTTTCGGGGTTTATTCTGCCGTGCTCCTTGTGCTTCTCTTGCATACTCCTTCTTCCTTGGGGCGTATTATGTTGTGTTATTGCATCTATCTTGCCGTGCTCCTTAGCTCTCGCGGTCTATTCTGCCGTGCTCCTGGTCACTGGTCGTGTTTTGCAATGCTCCTTCTTTCCTGGCGCCTATTCTGCCGTGCTCCTCAGCTCTTGGGGTCTATTCTGCCGTGCTCCTGTTGTTTTTCTGTCATGCTCCTTCGCTCTTGGGGCCTCTTCTGCCGTGCTCCTCAGCTCTTGGGGTCTATTCTGCCGTGCTCCTTGTTTTTGTTTCTGCCGTGCTCCTTCGCTCATGGGGCCTATTCTGCCGTGCTCCTGGTCTTCTTCTGCCGTGCTCCTTAGCTCTGGGGTCTATTCTGCCGTGGTCCTGGTCTTTTTCTGCCGTGCCCCTGCGCTCTTGGGGTCTATTCTGCCGTGCTCCTGGTCATTTTCTGCCGTGCTTCTTCGCAATTGGGGCATCTTCTGCCGTGCTCCTTGTCTCTTGGGTTCTATTCTGCCTTGCTCCTCATGTTTTTCTTGTTTGCTCCTTCGCTCTTCGGGCCTCTTCTGCCGTGCTCCTGGTCTTTTCTGTCGTACTCCTTGGCTCCTCGGGCCTTTTCTGCTGCGTTTCGGTCTTTTCTGCAGTCGTCCTTAGCTCTTGGGGGCATCTTCTGCCGTGCTCTTGGTCTGTTTCTCGCGTCTTTTTCGCGCCTGGGGCCTATTATGCCGTGCTTCTCAGCTCTTGGGGTCTATTCTGCCGTGCTCCTGGTCTTCTTCTGCCGTGCTCGGCAACTCTTGGAGTCTATTCTGCCATGCTCCTGGTTTGTTTCCGACGTGTTCCTTCGTTCAAGGGGCCTATTCTGCTGTGCTCCTGGTCTTTGTCTGCCGTGCTCCTGCTTTTTTTCTGCCGTGCTCCTTCGCACTTGGGGCATATTCTGCCGTGTTCCTTGCCTCTTGGGTTATAGTCTGCTGGGCTCCTCGTCTTTTTTCTTGTTTGCCCCTTCGCTCTTGGGGTCTATTTTCCTGCACTCCTTCAGCTCTCGGGGTCTACTCTGGTGTGCTTCTGTTTTTTTTCTGCCGTGCTCCTTCGCTCTTGGGGCGTATTCTGCCGTGCTCCTGGTCATTCTCTGCCGTGCTCCTTAGCTCTGGGGTCTATCATGCCCTGCTCCTGGTCTTTCTCTGCCGTACTCCTTCGCACTTGAGACATATCTAGCCCTGCTCCTTAGCTGCTGGGGTCTATTCAGCCGTGCTCCTGGTCTTTTTTCTGCCGTGCTCCTTCGCTCTTGGGGCCTAATCTGCCGTGCTCCTTGTCTGTTTCTGCCTGCCCCTTAGCTCTTGAGGTCTATTCTGCCGTGCTCCTGGTCATGTTCTGCCGTGCTCCTTAGCTTTTTGGGTGTATTCTGCCGTACGCATTTGCTCTTGGGGTCTATTCTGCCGTGTTCCTTGTTTCTCTCTGCCGTGCTCCATCGCTCTTGGTGCCTATTCTGCCGTGCTCCTCATCTTTTTCTGCCGTGCGCGCCCAGAAGCTCTGCCAAAACGACCACCGCGACGATCCGCACGGCAGATACAGGAACACGGCAGAACACACAGAGCACACAGAGGCACGGCAGAACACAGAAGCATTGCAGAACAGGAGCACGGCAGAACATACAGGAGCACAGCAAAACACACCCCGCACGCACGCCGACACGCGCGCCACGGCATACTTGCGCGGCATAACAACACCAGAGCATGTTCCACATGTTTGGTGGACTATATGGGGTTCGGCGCTGCACCGAATTTTTCGTTGGCGGATTCCCACAAGCAGCGATATCGCTCGAGACATCCTCCGAATATGGAGGTGTTGGAGGCTATCGTTTAAGACGTTTTCTGTAAACAAGTGGCATGTTCGTTCGAGACATCCTCAGAACATCGGGATGCCGAAAACTGTCAAGGATTTTGTTGTGCATGAAACTTAGCGTTTCGCCTGAGACATCCTCGAACAAATGATTTGTTAGAAAAGCTGTGTTACCACTTCTCATATAAAACATTGCGCTTTCGCTCGGGACATCCTCGCCCTGGAGACTGCTAACACATTACGATTTGTCTTGTCTTTCTGCCATAGTCATGGTCTCTTTCTGCTTTGCTCCTTCGCTCTTGGGCCCTATTCTGCCGTGCTCCTCAGCAGAAGGGGTCTATTCTGCCGTGCTCCTGGTCTTGTTCTGCCGTGTTCCTTCGCACTTGGGGCCTATTCTGCCGTGCTCCTGATTTTTTTTCTGCCGTGCTCCTTAGCAGAAGGGGTCTATTCTGCTGTGCTCCTGGTCTTTCTCTGCCGTGCTCCTTCGCACTTGGGGCATATTCAGCCCTACTCCTTAGCTCTTGGGGTCTATTCTGCCGTGCTCCTGGTGTTTTTCTGCCGTGCTCCTCCGCTCTTGGGGCCTATTCTGCCGTGCTCCCTGACTTTTTCTGCCTGCCCCTTAGCTCTTGGGGTCTATTCTGCCGTGCTCCTCGTCTTTTTCCGCCGTGCTCCTTCGCTCTTGGGGTCTATTCTGCCGTGCGCCTTTGCTCTGAGGGTCTACTCTGCCGTGCTCCTGGTCTTGTTCTGCCGTGCTCCTTCGCTCTTGGGGCCTATTCTGCCGTGCCCCTGAACTTTTTTCTGCCGCGCGCGCCCAGAAGCTCCGCCAAAACGACCGCCGCGACGATCCGCACGGCATAATACAGGAACACGGCAGAACACACAGGGCACACAGAGGCACGGCAGAACACAGAAGCACGGCAGAACAG